ACACAAAAAATAATACTAAATTTGAAATAAAAAGTTTCCCGCCAAAACAATGCTTCCATGATGGCTACCTTTTTTGACGTCACGATTCTGTAAACAAACCTGACAATAGGGAATTTGGAAGTGAAATAAAATTTACAAAAGCAGTCCTTTACAATATAATTCATCCATGGCGACAATTTTCACAAAAAGCAAACTTGAACAACCTTAAATAACACAAAAATAACAGTGCGTCAGCAGGAATTCGTTTGCTGCGTTTGTTGTTTACGAAATCTTGACATCACGAGCGCTGTCATATTGAAGCCTCGCGTTTTCGCGCCAAAGTTTTTGATTTGAATTTCAATAATTTTTTTTCGTACAACGGATAAATTAAAATGGATAAAAAGAAAACTATGTAATATCTGGTCACTAGAAGTATCTAAAAATAAATAAATTGAGAAATATGAAAATTCCCTATTGTCAAACCTTTTAAAATAATTAAATTCACCAGTCAGTTGGTTGGTAAATAAGTGTCACCAACTGACATATTTGCGAAAAAAAAATCCCGAACTAACAGCGACCACAAAAAAAATTTTAAAAATGAAAAATAAAATCCAAAATCGAGAAAATAGTATAAAACTCACGTTGCAGAAGGCTATTCTTGCACTCATTCGTTCGTCCACTCGCTCCTTCGTCGCTCCTGTCCAAATTTCGAATTCGTGTGGGAATATGCGGCCTTCTGCAACTTGTATTTTAATATACTATTCCAAAATTTTAGCATCCACATTAATGAGAATGATAGGGCGATAGTTTCTGACGTCATTGTTCAGTCCAGTTTTAAATACTGGCGACACTAAAGCTTTTTTAAATATTGCTGGAAATTCTTTTTGTTTTAATGATAAGTTGAAAATATGAGTTTTACAAAATAATCAGCCATACCTTTATAAATGTATGCCGAAATGTTATCAGTTCCAGCAAAGAATCAGTCGGTTTTGGTTTCAAATTGCTTTATACTATTAAATACTTTTTCGAGTGAAGATTACCCTCATATATCATAATTCCAGGTACTCCACTAGGATTTGACTTGCTTTTAACAAAAGTCCAGAAGCATTTCGGATCAGAGTTGATGTTATTTTGTATTGTGACTTGTACTAGTTATATTACAGTGTTTTATGGCTTTCAATTTGCCTTTAGTTATATTACAGTGTTTTATGGCTTTCAATTTGCCTTCTTAAATCTTTGTAACTTGACATTACATAAATATTAGCTTTATTTTTTTGTATTAAGCTATGCATTTTATTCTTCAGTCTAATTTTGCGCACCAAATCAATGGAGTACCAGAATAAGTTTTGGGTAGGGTAGGTACACCTCCTTGATACTTATTGAGAATAACAATGCAGGATGATATGGATCCTCAAGTACAAGCTGTTGGTCAGATCTGCCAATAGGCAACACTACATTTGATATCACTAAATCTAAACATATATTCATAAAATTATTTTTCTACTACCGTGCGTAAAGTACTCACTTTACGCACTATTTAGAAGACGTAAAATTTCACTTCACTTACTAGTGCGTAAAGTAATTCACTTCACACACTAGTGCGTAAAGTAATGTCAATGACAGATGTCGAAACTGTCAATTTGGCATTTTTCTGGTAAATTACTTCACACACTAGTGCGTGAAGTAAAAATTCTTTACGCATTAGTGGGTGAAGTATTTGTCTAAATTTAATTTTTTACACATATTTGAGTGGTAGTAGAAAAAAATTTGTATGCAATACGTGCGTAAAGCACCTTTTTTCACTCATGTGATTGTCGCACTCGTGTTCGGCTCGTGCGCCAAAATTCACATTCGTGAAAAAAGGTTCACTTTACACACTTGTTGCATAAATAACTATTATATTATTAAGTTGAGTTGTAAAATGCATATTTAAAAACTCTTGTATCAATAAACTTCTCTCATTATCACAGTTCGCAACATTGACAATTCTATAGGGAATAATGTTGTTGAGAGCTAGGATGACACCCCCACCTATTCCTGTATTCGAGTCGATGTATTGAATCAAAAAGTTCTGAGTCATAAATAGACTCACACAGCCAAGATTCAGAGATAGCAATCATTGTATAGTCCTCTGATAATAAATTTGTGTAGAAAATCTCTGTTTTATTTCTCAGTCTCCTCACATTCTGGTAATATACAATGAAGTCTGATGTTTGTTTTTTTGGTATTGAGGAGCACTCTCTAGGGGATTAGCAGCCGGATTACAATTTCACTAGTCGAGCGTTTTTGTTATCATTTGCGAGCATTCGTGCAGGATTCGAGTTCTCCTGTCATCTACGTTCGAAACTGAACCGATGCCGAGCGACATAAAGATGTCAAAAAAATACAAAGAAGGTCTGTTCTAAGTTCCAACACGTCAAAAATCATCCCATGAACGGTTTCGAAGCCACTCTGTATACGGATTTCGGATTCTACGCACAATGTTTGGGCTTTGCGCAGAATCTTGACGGTATAAGCTTTGTTCCAACTCAGCAGGAAACCGTATAATGAATGTTCCGTCACAATTCTGCGCAAAGCCTAAAATGTGTGCGTAGAATCCGAAATTCGTATACACAGTGGAAGTGGTTTCCAAACCATAAACTACCCTTGGGACGATTTTTGACGTGCTGGAACAGAGCTATTTTGTACGGTTGCTGTGTTGGAACTAAGCTATAATACAGGATGTTAATGAATAGTGGGATCAAACATCTAGGATAAATGGTCCTCATTAAATTCAATGAATTGAAAAAAAAGTAATAGAAACATAGGTCTGCAAATGCTTAGTTTTCGAGATACAGGGTGTCAAAGTTTGAAAAAATTCACAGATTTCGCAATCCTTGCAACCATCGGAGACATTGGAAATGATAACACCATTATATGGAACATATTTAACACATAATATATATTTATCTACCAGTGAGATAGGTACACAACTCGTGCTGCGCACTAGTTGTGTAACTTCCACACGCGTATCTTAGAGGGTGTGTGACCCTAAAATGAAAGTTTAAGAGCAAAAAAATCTAAGAATAAATATTTAAAACGCATCTTGCTACATCCGTTTTCGAGTTAGTGCGGATTAAAGTTGTAACTAGGTGTTTGTGACTTCACACTGTAAGTAAGTCATATAACAGTCAAAAGTTACCTTTTGTTATCACAAACAAACCTGCCAAGGGAAAGGGATTTTTGAGCTAAAAAATCGATTTTTTTTTTCAAAATTTTGACACCCTGTATCTCGAAAACTGAGCATTCGCGGACACATGTTTCTATTACCTTTTTTTTTCATTTTAATGAGGACTATTTATCCTAGAAACATGGCTTTTGGTTTTGAACCAAGGTAGACAAAAGCAGAATATGTTGGGCTCCACGCGGTTGTGACGTCACGTCCGCGTTCTGTTGCAAACTCTAAAGACAGTATTTTTGGTTTAAACCCTCTTTAGGATCACTCTCAGGTTTTATTGAGACTTATCTGCTTATAAACAATAGGGTACTTGCATGGAAAATTAAATTGATTATTGTTTATTGCAAACTGTAGGAAATCGAAAAAAAATCGTTACTTTTTTTTAATTCCGCCCAAATATGATTATTCCGGCAACTTTGATAGCGTGTAAAACCTAAACGGTTAATTTTAGACGAAAACCGATTTCACATTCCTATCTTGGATTTTCATAAACTATCATTTGACACCAACTTTGAATTTAATCCATGATTAAAAATTCCAATTAAATTTAATCTCTGATTAAATTCAAAGTTGGTGTCAAATGATAGTTTATGAAAATCTAAGATAGGAATGTGAAATCGGTTTTCCTCTAAAATTAACCATTTAGGTTTTACACGCTATCAAAGTTGTAAGAAAGTTAATATTCAACTGTCAATATTTCCAAAACAGTTGAACTAAGATATAGGGTATATCACATGAAATCTGCTCAGAATTTTACGCAGAATCCAAATATGCAATCACATACAGGGTGTTCCATTTCAAAAAACAAAGTTGGTCTGGATAGCAAACAAACCAGAAGTGACAGAAACAAATTGTCTAGGTAGAAATGTGGGAAATAATTTACTGAGCATTTTTCCTTAAGGTCACTTTTTCGTATACGAGGTAATTAAAAAGTTACAGGTATTATGCGCGACTTTTTTGCCACTCTGTAAAGATATACTGAGCATGTGCAACGTCACTAATTTATATGATAAGTGACGTCATAGGCATATTTCATAGCGTTGTATCTCTGTCAATTTTTGACTAAGAAGAAAAAGAAAAAACACGTGTTCACTTATTTTTTATGGACTAACGAAATCAGCAATAAAAAAAATTGATGCAAGTACCCTATTGTGATTTTCTTAGTACATGTTTTTTTTTTAAGCATTCAGGGCCGTATTCAGGATTGTGATAAAAATAACAGACAAAAGACAAATAACAAAAATAAATTGATGGGAAACGGAACGTCGGCCCAGATCCTAATGCTGGAATGCTATATTCCATCCCTATCTTGGACACACTGTATTCTAAAAAAACTTTGGGTTTTGCACAATCGGATCAATCGACTCGCAAGCAGGGGAGTTTCCACGACATGGTTAGGTTTGATACATTTTGGAAATAATTTGCATTAATATAATGAAAATAATAAGGCCCAAATGTTCAAACTCCACTTACATTTGCATATGTGTTTGGGTACGTTTTAAAAACAATAGATTTTATGAACCTAATATAGTAAAAAATTGAGTAGCTTCGGATCCTGGAATCGTATGTTAAGTAATTTGTTGTTGAGTATAATAATTCTAGTGCAGGTAACTAATAGTTGGCTAATAAGTAGTATTGTCGAACTTAATATCATAGTATGGCTCCAGATTTCTCATGACAAGAAATATTTTGGCTTTATGTGACTGTTTTGCTGGGAAAGCGAATACTCCTTGAGCGGAATTGTGTGGCATAGATTTGATACAAATTGTATGTATTTTATGACCACATTATTCTTTTTTTTCAGATTCAACGTGTCACTTGTTGCTTCATCTGAGGAAGGAACACAAAAGTGCTGGTTTGGAAAAGCCAGCATTTTGGATAGATTTGTCACTATGGGATCAGCAAGAGATATTTTTTTACTGTGAAGACGACTTGTTGATTAACGTCGGGTATAAATATACCATGACTAAAAACGAATTAATGTTGTATTTGAATATTAATGGGAAAATTCATAGAAATCAGACGAATCTAAATCACAAATTTAAGTTATATTTCTGGCAAAATGAAACTCCGTTTGAAACAGGTTAGTGGGTATACCTATAAACAAATACAAAAGTTTAAAAGTAAGTTTCAACAAAAGTTGCAGTCTGCTTTATTTGGTGGGAACCAATTATATTTAACAAAATAATATAACACAATTAAGGGAATTCAAGTCATCAATTTTGATCGCTGTTAGGGTTATCTTAGTCCTGAAGAACACATTGCTGATAATTGCTTGCCATTAGAAAGCAAATCATGGTTGTAAAAAACTTCGTACATGTTGCTCTTGGATGTAGATGACTGGCAGCCTAGATTTTATTGAAAATGACAAGAAATGTCGATTTTTCCTCAATTTGTCAGTGGGCTAGCATTGTGAAGCACTGGACAGCTGACATTCTTGAATTTTATTGGATAACCTTTGAATGAAATCATGTCGCCCTCTGCCTTAGCCAATGAAGTAAAAGAGCTTTTTCCGAAACACTGCCCAATCTTCCACGTTTTCTTGCCAATCCATTTCGAGATTAAGCTTGCTATCTCTTCTTTTTCCAATATGATAATTTTAAACATTTCCCATTATTATACCCCATGATTATAATCTGATATCTCAACAATCAATACAGATACACATCTTCAATATCATCAATATTCATTTATCTTAACTGATATTCTATAAAAAGACTATAGCCAGAACGAAGCGACAAAATAAGGGGTTTGAAATCTCTCTTTGTGTTTTTTGTTAGAACAATGGCATTTCAAAACTGTTTTTCTTTTTCAGCCAACATTGCAAGCGTTCACAGTGATCTGTCAGACGCAAGAGGCTTTAAAGTGGATCTTACCAATCATAAAAATTCAAAGAATATTATTTTTTGCATGTTTGAGCTATGGGATTCAACCGATACACTGAATATTGCCAACATACCTCAAACTATTGATGGTGCAGCCTCCGAAGCAATACTCAGATTTGAATTTCATCGATTTAATATGCTTAGGCCAAACTTCATGTACTACTCTGACTTTGATTATTGGGTTGGAAAAAGGCTTTGGATGGTAGCCATTGAAATATCTTCTGACAATTTAGGTATTTACTTGTGCCAAGGGTTGAAAAGTTGCCAGGAAGGGCCTTGTAAGATAATTGCCGATGTTGCATTAATTTCTTCAAAAAACGAGGAATTAAATGTAGTTCATAACATGACCAAAAATAATTTCAAAATATCCGCTGGATGGAAGAACTTCTTGAATTTGAACGTTTTAAGAGATGGACAAAATGGATTTATGACGGATAATTGTATCAAAATTGAAGTGTCTATTAAGGTATTGCCACCTGAAGTGGACAAAGACGAAGAAAAAAATGATTGTCCAAATTGTCGCTAAGAGCAGTTTTGGACTTTGTATTATGCCTCTCACTCATCATTATTATGTTGTGTCCTCTCTATTAGAAGAGCCAGTGACAATTTTTTCACCTCTGGCCTCTTGGAAAAAACTTGTTTTTGTTCTGTTCTTTGTATTATAATGTTTCTTAGGTTTCGTATGGTTTTGTTAATGATAATCATTTATTGAGTGTAGGTACCTTCATCTGTTATACATGGATTTTTGTTTTCTTGGTAATAGGTACCTATCATAACTGGATGTATACAGACAAATACCATAAGAGCCTACCTTTGTTTTGTGTTTTTTTTTATTATAGTTTTCTAACCTTTTGTGTTATGAAGTTTGATTTTTGTGGATTGTAAATTTGAAATATGGAAAAGTGTTTGAGAGAAATGATTGTTGAAGGCGTCTCCCTCATGAATTCGTATTGGTCATCCGTAATGATCCGTATTTCTTATTTTTATATTATTTGCTATATACTTAAAAGCAGTTATATTTTTTTGTTTTGTGTTATTATTATTATTTTTTTATCTTATTCTTATCTTATGTGATTTGATGCATAAATCCAGCTCTAGTAGTTTATAGACGTTTTGTATTATTTAAGCAATTAACAATGAAGTTTCTTCTGTTTCTCTTTTTGTGTTAGTTTTTTTTACTTTTTGTAATATTAGCAATAAACGTTTATTTTGTTTGTGTTTATTAAATAAAAATTTGTTCGAAACATCTAATATTTATTGTAATTTATCCTAAATAGATCGCTCAAAATAGTATTTTATCCTTTGAACCGACCCACCATCGAACGGCGTAAGGCTTCATCCCTTAGTATTTTCTTACCTGTCCCTCAGTTGTTTCAAAATTTTCAAGAAACGTAAATACGGCATCCTTATATAGACGCAAAGACCTGAAAATCAAACTGATTCAGAATGGTAATAATAGGTCTGTTCCTGCAGAAATCGCAAACCAGACAGACCGAATTTCATTGGTCGAGAACAGTCAGAAAACTACATATAGTTCGCCTTACGAGTCTAGCACTACGACGTCTGAAGGGCAAGGGGGAATAACGCCATTCATTTCGAGCTTTATGCTGCCTCTCATAGGAGTGCGCGCAACGTTTTTAAATATTACTTTTTCCTTATAAATGTAGGTGTGTAACAGATAAATATTGAGGTATTTTCTATTGGAAGTCAAATACGCAATATTGCAATTTTTTTATCCGCATTCTTTCCATAGTGCTAGACTCGTAAGGCGAACTTTAGTTTCAACCAATAAAATTCACTCTCTAGAAAAGAGACATTTCTTGAAAAATATTTCTAATGTTTTTGCGAGTGAATGTTTTCTAGTTAATTAGCCGCTGTTAATAGATTTTTTCTCTTGTCTACAGGGCCGTATCTAGGGGGGGGGGGGGTTTGGGGGTTCAAACCCCCCCCAAAAAATAATAAAATTCAAAAAATTTAACGTAAAAACAAACAATACTTATTAAATACTTATTTATTTTTTTTATTTTTATTACTAGTGTAACAATTTTTTTTTGCCACTTTGTCCAACCCCCCCAAAATTTTGGTCTAGATACGGCCCTGCTTGTCTACATCTGTTTGGGTCTTTGCATCTTACCGAGATTTCCAATTTTGAACTTTGAATACATATTGGAGAAAGAATTCTTCAATCAATATTTTTTACTTTCATTCTAATAATCACTAATTATATCTATTCTTTTAAAATAAAACTTCCTGCTGCGACCAAAGCCTTTGATAATGTATCACCAAGAAAATCTGATAATGGAGTTCAATACATGTGGTCTAGGATTAGGAAGCATGGCGTTACAGCTGATTGAATCCTACTTGGAAATCAAACTGAAGTGCACAGAGGAGGTTAGAAAAAATGTAGGGATAATGAGGTCATACTTCAAAACTAGGGCATTTCTGTCTCCGCTTCTTTATATTCTCTACCACAGCCTCCTACACTTAACAAGCCATGAAGTTAAAAAGGCAACACCGCAATCATACCGCCAAGTGGTGCTGGTGCTGTTTGTTTTTATAAATATATATTTTTTATTTTGTTAATATGAATAACAAAAAATGCATCATTTATTGTACTAAAGGGCCAAAAACAGTAGTTCAATGAATAATATAACTATTTGTGTAAATAATAACAGTAAATAGTTGATTTAAATGAATATATTTCTAGATTCTAAAGTGTTATAAGCCTATGTTTCAGTGTGTCTTTTGAAAATCTAACTTTTTCTTTCTTCGGGATTTTTTCGGAAGGCAGGTACATTCAAATACTTGAGCTGATTTTTGAAAATAACAGGTTCTTTTAAGAGTTGGACGTTTTAGTTTGAACTCTCGAATTACTCCTTTATCCTTGTTTGTTTCAAATCTAATTAGGTAGGTATTTCGGTTTCTTCAAAATGTTTACAACACACCACAGAATTTTTCGTTATTGTATAATCTCGGGTATAATTATTCTGGTGTATTGCTTTCATCCACAACTTTTGCAATTCAGAATTTTTTTGGAAATTTAAATGTTTGCATTACTCCAGTTTTTAAGGAACTCCTATAGTTCGTTTTGCACCCAGGAACACAGTAGTTTCATGGCATCTGGAACAAGTTTAAATATCTTAGGTAATATATCGAGAACTATGCTCTTGCACACAAATATTAATATTGTTTTTATTGTTTTACCGAGGTTTTACCTTACCTTACCTTGATTTTTGCTCCTGTAAGTCCTGTACCCATTTGCTAAAAATTTGCAATCAAAGCACAAAGGAACAGGTATCGGGTCTTCAAAAAAAAAACCAATCAAAGATTGCTATGGTTTTTTAAACGTACGTCTTAGCAATATTTTTCTTTAATTTTGACAATGTCAGTCAATCAAATTTAATGTCAAAATGTCATGTCAAAAATCCTGACCAATAAAAAAACAATAATGCGACGTACGTTTTCGTAACCAAAGCAATCTTTGATTGTTTTTTTTTTTGAAGACCCGATATCAACTAAATATGGGCAACAGTGGCGTAGCCAGGATTTTGTCTTGGGGGGGGGGCAAATTTGCAGGAAGTGTTTCCTGCGGCCCCGCCGCGACAGCTGCTAGAGGCAAAGCGCCGCAGGCGCGAAATTTTTGGGTGCCACGTCCCTTTTTTAGGTTTCTTTACGCTATTTTTGGGACTGTTTATTTCAATTTTGAAGAATTATTCATAAAATTTAAGGGTCTTGGGGGGGGCAAATGCCCCCTTGCCCCCCCCTGGCTACGCCAGTGATGGGCAATATATCGGTGTGTTTCTATCCACTTTTTCGTCAATAATGCCCACAAAAATACTAAATTGCAACAATAAACAATGAACGCAATACACAGAAACACATAACCCCAATAACAAAACAGCACCATACGCGACGTTGCCGTCATTTCCAACTTCATGGCTTGTTAAGTGTAGGAGGCTGTGTCTCTACACAAATGGCGTAACAAAAAATGGTACTGTTTGTTAAGTCGAACAATTTGACACAAAACCGTATGATTGGCGGAGCTTCAGGCTCAGGACAACGTCCTGTTTCTGGGTGTTGTGCTGGGCAAAAATCTAAGCTAGAAAGCGCGCATAGATATATGCACTTATAGAATCATCAGTGATACCTACAGTGTTTTTCTGCTTCCCTAGCTTCCTACCCCCCAATAAAATACCTATAGGGAAAAATAGAATAGGAAAGTAGAGCATTTTGAAGCATTCAGGAATTTTTTAATGATGATAACAAATTACAGATCATAAATTAAATATTAGCAACATATTGTTACTATATTGTTGGACTTTTGCATTGGTCGATTTTATTAATGTTGTGAGAGTGGGATCACTTTTAATTTAAGTCTTGGAAGAATATAGCACTGTAAGCTCGTGTTAAGCGTAGTTCATATAGATGCGAATCACGAATTGCGAATCCGAATTTCGTTGAAAAAGAATCGGCGTTTTTCAGCACTTTCATATATATGCGAACTTCGCAATCATTCTAGGAATATTTACTTTATTTTTCGGTGCCACACTGGAGTGTTGAAACTAATATTTACATGTTTTTCTTTCGTTATAACCTTAAATAATTGTTTTTGTTGTTTCTTATTGTTGGTTCCAATTCACAAGAAAAAAATAATAGATAAAATTATCATGGAAAATATTGCAATAAACATCAAGGAAAACACACAGCAAATCACAATAGTTATTTACCTAACAAATGCGGAAAGTGATACTTTACCGCACGCAACGGCAGGTCAAGCCGTTAAGGGCGGTAAAGGCACTTTCCGCATGTGTTAGGTACAAAATTTTACCTATGAGCATCTACATCTCCAAAAAAAGGCATTTATAAAATTAATTAATGAATCAGATTAATTAATGAAATTAGATAAGATTTAGAAATGATCAAAAATCCATTTTCTGAAAAAGAGAGGATTTTTGATTAAAAATATCAAATTCTACTTTACCGCACACTATGCGGTAAAGTGCACTTTACCGCACACTTTGATTCTACTTTACCGCATACTATGCTGTAAAGTTAACTTTACCGCACACTATGCGGTAAAGTGCACTTTACCGCATAGTGTGCGGTAAAGTGATACTTTCCATTTGCAAATCCGTGCGGTAAAGTTCACTTTACCGTACGCTCGTAGGTAAATAACTAAACGACAAGAATTACAAAGACTAGACAAAAGTAAAGAATCCTAAATGAAATGGCCAAATCCGAAATGAAAACAAAACAACTGAAGGAGCAGCTGACAACAGCATTTTTGAAATACGCATGCGCTGAGATAAAATCCGCAACGAATATCCCAAATTATTAAACCAATTCCAATTTTCAATTTTCCCGCCTCCTAAATTTCAAATTTTGCGAATTCGCAAAATATTGAACTCTGACAGATGTCCCTTTTCTTGACAGTGGACTGACCAATAGGAGCGGCCTCCGCAATTCGTGATTCGCATCTTATGAACTCCACTTTACTTTGCCACGATTTTAACAGTTTTTCCAACATATTTATTTTGTTTTTGAAGCAAAATTAACAACCATTACATATGTAATGTATTTATGCCTTACCTACTGATTTTAGTAGTTACGACCTTCGAAAAGTATGTAAGTACCTATGTACAAAGTACTTTTTTTATTTTATTTTGAGCTGAACAAAATTTTACCTATGAGCATCTACATCTCCAAAAAAGGGCATTGATAAAATTATTTATTGAATCAGATTAATTAATGAAATTAAATTAGATTTAGAAATTATCAAAAATCCATTTTCTGGAAAGAAAAAGGATTTTTGATTATAAATATCAAATTCTACTTTACCGCACACTATGCGGTAAAGTGCACTTTACCGCACACTTTGTACTCCACTTTACCGCATACTATGCTGTAAAGTTAACTTTACCGCACAGTGTGCGGTAAAGTGCTACTTTCCATTTGCAAATACGTGCGGTAAAGTGCACTTTACCGCACGCTCGTAGGTAATAGTATATTACAATCCGAGACGGAAAATACTTCATTGCTGGTCGAGAGGTTATTATAGTTTATCGAGACGCGAAGCGTCGAGATAAACTCAACCTCGAGACAGAAATGAAGTTTTCCGTCGAGGTTTGTATACTTTTTTATTTTCAACCCTTAATTTTCTGATGCAAAAACTAAAGATTCTGTTATACGAAATTTTCATATAGTGTAAAACTGGCCTTAGAAAAAAATATTTCACTTTTTTTGTCAATGTCATCAATTTTGACGATCTCAAAGGC